ACAGCATGTAAAAATATAATATAAGCTCTGGTGGACTTGGTTCTATGGTAGGTCTTAAAGGGTTAAGGAGTTTTCTTGTAGCTATGTTGAAACTCAACTAATGGCTTGTTTACCCATGAGGTCTGATGCAGAGTGTACATCTGCGTTGTGCTGAATAGGTGGAGTTTGCACACATTTTAAACTGCGTATCGGGGGCATGCACTGATGCCCCACCCAGTTTAAGCACTGAAGGAAGCCTAAATGACTACCTCGACCAAATACAAACAAAGCTGGACCATTTTAGATGAAACGGTTAACAAATTAAAATATTGATTTTAATTGGTTTATCTGCAAAATGCCAGCAGGTGATTGCTGATAGGATTCCTCTCCTAGTGACACTGTTACCTTTAAACCTCAATTACTTTAAAGTGAGGAGACCTCACACAGGCAATGTCTCCCTTCTATTTGAAACATTTACTCCTTCCTCACCACTCATCATCACTTTTGGAGGTTACTGTTTTACCCAGAGCCATGTAACATTTTATGAATTAACTAGAATTTGAATGAAGGGTCTCTAAGCAAAGGAGAGATGCACCCTTCCTTTATCAGGCTGAAATAATAGCCTTTGTACTAATTTATAATTCTATCAACGCTGCTGTGAATGATGTCTCTTCCTTTATGAATGGCATCATACAGGCTTTTACAACATGGACAATAAAGTGCAGTTGTTTGGGTAAAGTCACATGATCTGTGAAAACCAGTGAAACCTAACTGCTGTGTTATCACAAGATCCAGTTTGAGCTGTTTACTGTAGAAATTACCTTTGGTTGAGCTGGCAGTTGCTGTCTGAGGTTTAATTATAGAAAGTTCAGTAAAGAAATCTTAATGAAGCTCATGTAACTTTAATTTGATCTCTAAAATATTGATCATACCATGGGAGTCTTTTTGTAAGCAGCACTGTAAAATAGGGCTGCCACAAACGATTATTTTGATAGTCGACTAGTCACCGATTATTTTTGCGATTAGTC